CCCCTGAGCAGAGGCCAAGACAATGCAAACAGCTGGGGCTGAAGCTTGGCCCCCAAGTGCCCCCCACCGAGAGCAGAGCTGGGAGGGGGCTCTGCACCCAGCATGGATCCTGCCCGCTCTCTCCTGTTGCCTGAAGCCTCAGGTGGGCTGGGATGGGAGAGGCATGAACTTAGTAGAGACCGACTTGGTTCTGGGAGCCGTGACTTGACGCCACTGCATCATGATTTCCTCCTGGAAGGTCTGGTGCAGCCTTAGTCTTTGTGTGTGAATTTAGCGTCTGCTCAGGGGCTAGAATCAGAGCTGTGGTTGGAAGCACCCAGCTCCAAATTGTCAAGCTGGTAGGAATTTTTGCTTGGTCACAAAGTCTAGTGTGCTGAGACTAATGCTCTTTATTTTCCTTTTTTTTTTTGCAACCTCTAAGTTTTTAATTACATGAGTTGTTAAGAACAAGCACAACAAACTAGTGTGGGGGTCAGGGTGGGAGAAGCCGGGAGGATAGGGCAAGGGGAAGAAGTTCTGCTCGATTGGTCATAAAACTCCAGAGTTAACTAGAGTTACCTTGGCTCTCAAGCTCTCGTTTCCACTGATGGTGGAAACCGTCAGCGTGCCAAGTCAGCCCAGCTCAGCACTTAAAGGTCGTCCTTTTCAGGGCAAACGGCAGTTCTCCCTCATCCTCACCTTCTCCTTCTCTTCTCCTAGGGGTAAGCAAGGGCTGACCCCTGGGCCTGGCTTAAGGAAGGGGCCCACACGCCACCACTGGTACTCGCTGACTTCTGCCCATCGGGTTATCCATCTCCGGCTGCACAGCAAACCGCTCCAAAACTTAAAATAAGCCCAATATTTATTTTTCCCATAAAAGCTGCGATTTGAGCAGGGCTTGGCAGGGACAGCTATCTCCACTGCATTTGGTGTTAGCTGGGGTGGCTCGAAGGCTGGGCATTGGTACCACTCCAAGGCCCCCTCGGGCAGCTGGTGCTGGGTTGCCCGGGACCTCATCTGAGGCTGTCACCTGGAACACCTACATGTGGCCCCAGCCTGTGGTCTGGGCCTCCTCACAGCGTGGCAGCTGGGTTCTAAGAGTGAGGGAAGAGAAGAGAGGGGAAGGGTGTGCCAATTTGCTTTTCATGACCTGGTCCTTAGAAATCCTGTGGTATTACTTGGTCACATTCCATTTGTCAAAGTGGTCACAGAGGCCTGCTGCACTTTAAGAGGAGGAGGGGAAGACTCCACCTTTTGATGGGGAAATGGCACATGCTAGAAGAGTATGTGGATTCACAAATGTTGTAGAGGCCAAGTTTCAAGACACAGCCTGCTACATCCTCTCTTCTCCATGCATTTGCTGCTGACCTTTTTAGAGCTGCCACGGTCTCTGGTTCATTCAGTCCACTCCAGTTCCCTTACCACTACCCAGAGGCCTCTTGGTGTTCCAGCCGTGGGGATGGGGAACACTGACACAGCCTATTTCTTCATGCTGGAGAATGCCGTTGGTCTCCAGGCCTCCTGGGCCTTAGCTGCCCTGTGACTCTGGCACCATGTTGGATGCGAGTCTTCTCTTTGCAGCTACAACCACCCCTGGTCCACTCTGCTCGAGCCCCAGCCTTCTGGTGCCCGTTCCAGCCAGCAGGGAAGAGGAAACAACTCTCCTGAGGGCAGATTCCACATTAAGGACACTAATTGCAAATCCACCCCTTCATTTTACCCGCTCTTGGCCAGAACCTTGTCACATGGCCATGTCTAACTGGGAAATATAGACCTTATTCTGACAAACCATGTTGTTTGGTGAAAAATTAGAAGGTTTTTGTTTTTTGTTTTTTGCTTTATTTTTATCAAGGGAGGAAAGAATTGGTTTTCAGGGAGAATTCCTTCCTTAACAAGAGGCTACATTTAATCTGAGAGCTTCAGGGTGAGTCAGAGTCAGTAATGCTAGAACGAGGGGAAGAGTATTTTAGGCAGATGGAACAGCAAAAACAAAGGCTCAGAGGCAGCAAAGAGCATGACCTGTTCAAGGAACAGGAATATCATTAATGAAGGATGTGACTTGTGGAAGTGACGGCAGGTAGACAGGAGGAGAGAGATGAGATGAAAGGAAAGGCGGGTTTTTACTTATTGTTTATAATTACCAGACCATGTGGGGCCATGTTGGCCAGAATAAGGAGTTTGGAATTTATTCTAGAACATGTTTCCTAACAGACCGTTCAATGTCTACAATTCCCACAATTAGCTTTTTTTTTCTTGGTGTAAAAGTCCATTTAACACAAATATTTTTTGAGTGCTTACTCATGACAGGAAAACAGAAGGCATCGTGGGGAGGTAGGAATAGCTTGATAGTTGGAGTATTAGCATTTAGAAGGTACTGAGTTTGGTCAATTTATTAGCTGGGTATCCCTGGGCAAATTACTTCACTTCTCTGAACCTCAGATTCTTCGCCAGACAATGCTGTGAGTTTTAAACAAATGAACGCATAGAACGGTTCATGGTGAACTCTAAGGAGCCTTGCCTACGCTTGATATATTGTTCCAATATGAATGTAAGTTCTTCCCGGAGTACCAAAGGGCCCACTGGAGGGTGAGTAGGGGAGGGGAGAGTATGGCTCTAGAGAAGGACCCCACAGGGAGAGGGCTGGAGGGAGGGGCCCTGGTGGGGTCACTGAGCACTGGGTCCTGAGGGGTGGAGTCAAGGATGGGCACCAGGGGATACCAATGAGTCACTCTGGCAGTAAGTGTCCGAGGCCAGAGCAGGCGCTATTGATACCCATCTCTGCATCCCCTCAGCCAGCCTCTGGGTTCACCTGCAGCTGCAGTGAGCTGTTTCTGGAAAGCATACAGGGCTCCCCTCTCTTCTCTTTTCAGCCTGTGAACTTTCTTTGGCACGAAGGATCTTGCTGGAAGCATGCAACCTGGAGCTGCCATAGAGTTAGCATCCTGGGGGAAATTCTCAACCCAGCTACCCCGAGTTGGCTGTTTGGAAGGGGGGATGTGTTCCAAGGCGTGTCCCACATGGCGTCTCAGGGGGTCCCCGGTGGGATGGAGTGGCAGCCGCCCCCAGTGGTAACTCGCTCATCAACATCCCCTGAATGGGCTTCCCTCTCCGTCTCATTTCCCCACACCCTCACCACTCTTCCTGGGGTCACCTTCTAAATAAGCGACCTGCACCCAAATCCTCATCTCAGGCTCTGCTTTGCGGGGAACTTCCACCAACCCCCGTTCCCACCTGCCTTCCCTGATATCCAGGATGAAAGAGCTGAAACCTGGCTCCCCCAGCTCCCATCACAGTTATAGGCGGCCACGTGACCCACTGCCAGGTATTGGCTCAGAAGCCAGTCTTATGGAAGGTTTCTTGGAAAGCTTTCCCTTCTTTATAAAAGGAACAGATATTTTTGGTGCTGGCACACCTCCCCCGCCTTCCTGCCTTGACCATGAACACACTCTTAGAGCTGCAGCAGCCGTCTTGGGGCCAGAAGGAAAGGCCAAGAGAATCACAGAAACACTGTCCTAGATGTATTAAGTCACCAAACTCACATCTATAGCCATCGTGCTCTAGACTTCTTCTGTGCAGAAAATAATCCTCAGGTTGGTTGAGGATGTCGTTCACGGAGCACTTGGTTACGTGCCCCCTAATGCAGTCCCAACTGGTACAGTTGCTCAGGGTGCCAAGGTCAGCGGCGGCTGCATCCTAGATTTCCAAGTCTTGGAGCCAGGGGGTCAGACCTCTCTGCGGTGGGCTGGCACCCGCTGGAGCAGCACAGCCACCCTTGCCCTGCTGGGCAGGATAGGCAAGGCCCCTCCTGGGAATTCTCAGACTTAGAGGTCGAGGAATGCAGGCGGCCTCGGAGACCGCAGGCAAGTCTTTGACCTGCTTCACTCATCTTCCAGCCTTTATTTCCCTCTCTCGCTTCAGATTTACAAAGAGAGCAAGCTCTGAAAGAAAAAGACAAGACTCTATCCAATGTTGAGGGCCAATTCCCTGATTCCCCTGACATCTCTTCTTCCTTTCCGTCTCGTTTTGTCTTAGAAAGCAAGTCAGTGAAAACGAGGCTGATGAATTCTTTCGACTGAATTGCGTGCAACAGTTAACTGGTACTTACTGAGAGCCTAGGTTGCTCTGGGCTAGGGAAAATACCAAGGGCACGGAAGGCATGGCCTGTCCTGTCCTAAAACAGGACACAGTCTAGTTGGGGAGGCACGTGGAAGCACCCAAGAGGGCTTACAGTTTGAGAGGCAGGCTAGCAGACGGGTCAGGAGCATATGTTCTGGAAGAGGTGGTCTGCATCGAGCAAGGTACTTTACCCTGTCTGTGCCTCACTTTTTTTCTCCATAAAATGGAGAGAATAATTGTACCTAGGGTCATTGGTGCAGATTAAGTGACTCCGCCGTGAGGATAGTGATGATGATGAAAGTTATGTGCTCATCCGGCATCTCCACAGTGCCCGAGGCAGTGCTTTGCTCATCCTCAGCCACAGGAACACCTATTTATGAGTATCCAGTACACAGCAGGCACTGTGCTAGGTGCTGGAGGTATAGCGGCCAACTAGACAGATAAGGTGCCTGCCCTCATGGTCTGGCAGGGACACGGACATGAAAGTCATTATAGCTGTGACAAATAAGGGCTCCAGGCAGAGGACCCAGCCCAGGTTTAGGCATTGGGTGGGCGGCTGATGCCCAGAGCGGGTAGATGTAAGTGGAGGCTGGAACAGACAGGGTCCAGATCTTGTGGGCCCAGAGGGTTAAGTGTAGGTGGACGATCAAGGTCAAATATCAGTGATTAAGTCCAAACTGGTGGGGAATTCTGGCACGTGGACACAGGGCAGGGTGTGTGAGAATCACGCTCAGGCCTCCTTCTGACCTCTGCCTTGCTCCCTGCCCATCGGCCCTGTGGAGGGTTCCCGGGGCCCCCTTGGGAGCCAGGCAACGATCTCCTGCAGGCCACAGTTCTGATCCAGCCGCGTAGGAAGATTAGCAATGGAAGATTAATTTCTCCTTGTCATTTCCCCAGGGGCCTTAAGCAATCTCGGGAGCAATTTTCCTCGCCTAGAACACCGCCCTCGGGAAGCTGGCGGGGATCGGCTGCGGTGTGGCGCCAGGTGAAGGACAGCCCTCGAGTCCCAGCTTCGGAGCTGGGTGGTGAGCCAGAGAGAAATGTGCCCGCTGAGCAGTCATCGCCGGCCTGTAATGGACGCTGAACAAAAGAGAGGCAGGCATCAGCATCGCTTTGCTGTGCGGGCTTTCCATTTGGCTAAGGAGCGTGAAGGACGCCGGAAACAGAGCTCCGGGACTTTCGGTGCAGACGGCCGCTCGGAGCCGGGCAGTCTTTGTCTCCAACGAGATTTCTTTTCACAATCGCGGCTCTGCCTGGGGGGCGGGGTGCTGAATCCAAGGCCACAGTTTCTCCCTCCTGCTAAAGAGAAGGAAGAGGGCAGGGCTGTCTTGTGCTGGAGCTGGGGACCCAAGCGCACTTCCACGGAGGAGTCTGAAGTCAGATCTTAGGAAGGACTTCCAGGCCAGAAGGATAGCCCTTACTCTGGATTTTGATTAGCAGCTTTTCAATGAAACCCAGAAAGCTGTTGTTTGGGATAAATTTGAAGATTCTTAGGCTGGAGGGTCTAAGAATGATCGGAAGATTGGGACAGGGTACATCCCCCACAGGGTTGTGTTTCCTGGCTCCCAAATGGCTGTGCCTTTCAGCCACTCAGCTGCACCCCATGCTGTGCCATTCATTCACTGATTGTGTTTAAAATGGGGCTCCACCAGTGTGAAGCTGGGTGTGGTATTAACCTCTCAGACTCCATTGCCTCATCCCTAAAATGGGCTTGATAATGTCTTCCTCACAGGCGGAGGGACAACAGTGAGTTAATATATGTAAAACAGCCAGCATACATGGCCACTGCATCGGACAGGGTGCCTTCAGCTGCAAGGAATTGAAGACCCCGCTAAAAGTGTCTTCACAAAAGGGGGCTATGTTTCAGAAGAGAACTCTTGAGGCAGGCTCATTCCCAGAGCTGGAGGGTCTAACATCTATCTCTCTGCTCCACTATCCTCGGCTTGTTTGGGGGTGACACGCCTCATGGTCTACAGACAACTAAAGCCGTTCCAGGCATCACATGTTCAGTTTAAAGAAATTGACGCCTCCTGCTCTAGTGGATTTTACTTCCGGTCCCATTGTCTAGTACAGAGTCATGTGACTGTGCTCCACCAATCTTTGGTAAGGGATATGAGACCATCATGGTTGGCTTAGATCAAGCATAATTCACCATCCCCACAGGACTGGGAGGGAGTCCTCTTCCCTGATCACCCTGGAGGGCAAACGCAAGAACAAAATTTGAGCCTGGCCATCGAGGAAGATGCAAAGAACTTGAGGGCACAGAAGGAGAGAACAGTTCCTTGGGTAAGCAACCTGTAGTTTTGGCTACAGTTCCCTACCTATCTACCTCCCTCCCTAGCTATTTACCTTTTTATTCTTGACTGTATGTCATATTTCCATGAGTAGAGAGAATATAACCCCTTGCTGGCAGGAACCTGTTGATTTCTCTATTTCCCAGCCCCGGGCACCTAGTAGGCCCTTTATACACATTTGTTATTGATGATGATGATGACATATATAAATGGTTGCAAGCATCATTAAACAGTAGAGTTTGTACACATTTCTATTTTTGAGAGCGGTAAGGGACTTTAGGAAACATAATATTTTCACAGCGGTTCTTCAAGTGTTACTCTGAAATTCGTTATGAGATCAAGGAGGAGATACTACAGAGAAATAAAAGTATGTTGCTGTCTGGTGAGAGGAAGTCAGGAGAAAAAAATAACCAACACACATCTAAAGGAATATATATACACACACAGACTTCTTTTTTTTTGGTCCAACTTTCACTTCCTGCTTTACCAAAGCAATCGACCTTGAGAATGCCCCCCACCCGCCCCATAGTAAAGTGTTTTTTTTTTTTTAACAGTTTGGTTAACCCAACAAATCAATAGTGGCACCCAGTGGCTAGAAGGGTTAATCAGGGAACAGGAATTACTTTTTGCATCTCAGTTTTATCAACCAGAGCTGCATTTAAAAATTAAACCACTGAGTCAGGCATCTGAAGAAATGTCAGGGCTTCAACTCTGGCAGCATTTTTTTCCCACGCCTCCTTTCCTCTTAGCAGCTCAGACTTTGCGGGCCCAACCTCCACCTGGGAGCCCAGAATTAAGGCTGGAGGTGGGGTGGCGGGGAGGGTGGCAGGGAGGGGGAGAAGGGGGTGGTGAGAAAACCTCTGTCGCCTGGCAGGGCTATGGGGATTGTTAAAAGCTTGTTTATTCTACATCCTCTCTAGAACTGAGCGAGCGAGTGTAATTATGTGCATTGCTGGAGTTCCAGGTCTTTCCTCCAGAGGACATCTCCCCCCAAAGTTGCTGACGTCTGGTCCTTACGGGATTTCGGGAGGTAAGTGATCCAGAGGAAACCAAAACCTCTGCCAGTTAACAGGATAACCAATTAACCAAACCAGTGAGAAGGAATCCGGGAATGCCCGTATCTAGCTTTGGCGTTCCATCTTCATTCTTCCAGCAGTTAGCAGGGAGAACATGTGACATAGGCCAGGCTGGTAATTCCTTAGTCACTAGGCTTTGCAAGGTTCTAAGTCCTATTTATTGAGCTACATGGACTGTGCCTCTGACTCAGAAGGGAAGGTAGGCCCAGGTTTCACACTGCCATAGGGAACGAATTATTTCCTGTTCCAAACAAGCTGAAAGATCCCTATGGCAGAGACCATTCATTGTTCCCAAATAGCTCTTTCCCCTGCTATTTATAAGTAATAGAATTTTAGCTGGGCACATTGCCTCCTGGAGAAAAAAAAAAGGTTTTTCCCCAGCTTCCTTTACAGCTAGGTGTGGCCATGTGACTAAGTTCTGGTCGATGGAATGTAAGTAGAAGTCTTGCATGCAACTTCTGGGAAGTGGGAAGTATCCTTAAAAGGAGTGCTCTTTCTCTGTTCCTTCTAAAATTTGCTTGGAATCTAGTCTTGATGGCTGGAGCTCAGGCAGCCACCTTGGACTGTGAAGTGGCGTAGAATGGTCAAGTGTACCAAGGTAGCAGAAACATAGATCCCTGAGTGCCATACCAGTTCTGGGTACATTATATAAAGGCTTTTTCCCCTAGCATTTTCCTTCTCAAAATGTGGTCTTGTTAGAAGTACACATTCTCAGGCCCTATCCCAGGGCTACTGAATCAGATACTCTGGAGATAGGGCCCAGCCATCTGTGTTTTAACAGGCCCATGGGTGATTCTGATGCACTTTATAATTTAAGAACTGTCCTAGACTATTATTTTCCTATTAAGGTATTTTCATTGATTTTCTCCCACAGTCTATTCAGAAAAAAAGTATTTAGAACTAGGACACCTAATACTCCTTTTGTCTGTCTTCTATTTTCCCCCACCTAATTTAAGAGGAGACATTATCAACATCAATGAGATTATGAAAAGATGTAAATTATGTATAGGTGAGAGCAGGACTCCTTAAAGCATAAAATTTAGGCCAAGCAAGAGCAAAACTGGTACCACAAGCTAAAAACGTCCAAGGATAAATAAGTTGAGTTCATGGAGGCCAGTGTGATAGCTAATTGTAGGTGTCAACTTGACTGGATCAAGGGGGGCCCAGATATTTGGTCACACATTATTCTGGGTGTGTCTTTGAGAGTGTTTTTGTGTGAGGTTACCATTTGAATTGGTAGACTGAGGAAAGCAGATTGCCATCCCTAATGTGGGTGGGCCTCATCCAATCAGTTGAAGGCCTGAATAGAACAAAAAGGCTGACCTTCCTGGGAGTGACGGGGAACTCGTCCTGTCTGACTGCCTTCCAGCTAGGACATCTGTTTTTTTTCCTGCCTTTCCTGAACCATCAGTTCTCCCTGGGTTTTGAACCTGAAGGCATTCAGACTGGAACTACACCATCAGCTCTTCTGGGTCTCCAGCTTGCTGACTAAAGATCTTGGGATTTGTCAGTCTTTGTAATCATATGAGCCAATTCCTTAAAATAAACCTCTGTCTCTCTCCACACACACATATACACACATCGCATTGGTTCTGTTTCTCAGGAGAACCCTGGCTAATATAGACGGAGAGGCCATGTGACAGAAAACAAAAACCCAGTGAGCCCTGACTTTGAATTCTGCTTCCATTGTTAGCTAGGTGTGAATTTGCGTAACCTTTTGACTCTCACTTTCTTTCTTCGTAAAGAGGGGCTAATCATACCTTCTTTCCCAAGACTTTGATGAGATTAAAGGAGATAATGTTTGTAAAACACCTAACATAGTGCTTGGCATGTAGTTAAATGCTCAGTAACTGATAACAGTGATAAAGATGATGATGGTTATGATGGTAATGATGACAAGTCCTGATCCCTGGCGGATGAATATGAGAAGAGACACACCCTGAATCTTCTAAGATACTTTCTAGGCTGGCATCTTTCGCAGAAGCCATGAGTGGGAGAGCCATGTCTGACCTACCGTCCTTGTCATTATCATGCATATATCATTATCCACATACAGAGATGATGGGAGGCGTGGTAGCCAGTCTCCAAGATGGCCCCAGTGAGCCATGCCTGGCATCCCTGACCTGGCGTAATCCCCTCCTACAACTGAATCAGGGTGCATCTACTCTGAATCTACTGTGACCTGTAGGCTCCTGCAGATGTGCTGGCCTGTGACTTTTGAGGTTGGTTACAAAAGACATTGCAACTTTCTTTTCTTTAAGAATTCATTTCTCTTGAGATATAATTGACATATAACATTGTATAAGTTTAAGGTGTGCAACACGTTGGTTCTATACATTTATATATTGCAATAATGATTGCCATTGTGGCGTTAGCTAACACCTCTATCACGTCCCATAATTATCATCTCTTTTTGTGTGTGTATGGTGGGAACAATTAGGATCTAGTCTCTTAGCAGCTTTGAAATTTAGAATTGGTGTCTGTAATCACTATGCTGGCCACCACAGTCTCGCCTCGCTCTCTTGTGTTGCTTGCTCTGGGGGAAGCTAGCCACCATGTTGTAAGGGCATTCAAGAAGCCTTGTGGAGAGGTCCATGTGGAAAGAAGCCAACTAGCCAGCACCACCTTGCCAGCCATGTGACCGAGTTACCATGCAATTGCATCTTCCAGGCCCTGACTTCAAGTCTTTTAGCTGAAGTCCCAGACATCGTGGACCAGAGACAAGCTATCCTCATGTACCTTACCTGAATTCCCGACCCTCAGAAATCAAGTTAGTAGTAAATTGTTGGAAATTGTCTTCACGTGGCATTCTCCTTGTGTCTTCACATGCACTCCCCTTCCTCTCTGTGTCTGTCTCCAAATTTCGCTCTTTTTATAAGGATACCAGTCATATTCGACTAGGGCCCACCCCCCACCAGTATAACCTCATCTTAGCTAATCTCAGTTGCAATGACTCTAGTTCCAAATAAGGTCATATTCTGAGGTTCTGCGGGTTAGGACTTCAACATGTCTTTTTTTGGAAGGGACACAGTTTAACCTATAACAAAAGACTTCTTACTTGATGATTCAGATTCTAAAAGCAAGTGCCCCACCAGCCCACCTAAACAAGGCAGAATCTGCACGGCTTTCTCTTATCCAGCTTTGGAAGTCAGAGTTTAACTTCTGCGACTTAAAAAAATGGAAAGATATCCCATGCTCCTGAATTGGAAGAATCAGTATTGTTAAAATGGTCACGCTGCCCAAGGCAATCTACAGATTTTATGCAATCCTTATCAAATTACCCAGCACATATTTCACAGAACCGGAACAAATCATAATAAAATTTATATGGAACCACAAAAGACCCAGAATTGCCAAAGCATTACTGAAGAAAAAGAAAGAGGCTGGAGGAATAACTCTCCCAGACTTCAGACAATACTACAGAGCTACAGTCATCAAGACAGCATGGTATTGGTACAGAAACAGACATATGGACCAATGGAACAGAATAGAGAGCCCAGAAATGAACCCACAAACTTTTGGTTAATTAATCTTCAACAATGGAGGCAAGAATACACAATGGAATAAAGACAGCCTCTTCAGCAAATGGTGTTGGGAAAACTGGACAGCAGCACGTAAATCAATGAAGCTAGAACACACCCTTACACCATACACAAAAATAAACTCAGAATGGATCAAAGACTTAAATATAAGACAAGATACCTCCTAGAAGAAAACATAGGCAAAACATTATCTGGCATACATCTCAAAAATGTTCTCCTAGGGCAGTCTACCCAAGCAATAGAAATAAAAGCAAGAATAAACAAATGGGACCTCATTAAACTTACAAGCTTCTGCACAGCAAAGGAAACCATAAGTAAAACAGACTTTAACTTCTGCTATTGGTTGAAATAGTCAGAAGCTTAACCATCAAGGGCAGGTGTCCTAGTCAGCTGGGGCCATAACAAAACACAGACTGGGTGGCTTAAACAGCAGACATTTGTTTTCTGACAGTTCTGGAGGCTGGAAATCCCAGGTCAAGGTGCTGGCAGAGCTGATGTCTCCTGAGGCCTCTCTTCCTGGTTTATAGACGGCTGCCTCCTCACTGTGTCCTCGCATGGTCTTTCCTCTGGGTGTGCAGAAAGCTCTCCGCTTCTCTTCCTCTTCTTCTAAGGACACCAGTCCTGTAGGATTAGGGCCCCACCCTTATGACTTCTTTAACCTGAATTATCCTCCTAAAGGCCCTATCTCTAAATAGTCACATTGACGGTTAGGGTTTCAACCTCTAAACTGGGGGGTGGGGGGGGGCGGTGCACAATTCAGTCCAGAACAAAGTACTTCAGTAGAGAGTGTGTTTTCAGTCTATACTGTAGAAGAGGGGGGTTTACATTTGAAATACACCCGTGAAGGAAGCACACCTCAGGGATGGTTAGTTAGCATTTGAAAAACCTGAGTCAGAAATCCACACTCCAAAGACAGCTACCACCCGCACATCAGCTATCTAAATCTGTACTGAGGGTTCACCAATTAGCATTTTTTAACGAATAAGCGAGGTTCAGGACGGGGGGGATTGGCTAGAAATATTGTACTGGCACCTCTGCTGCTGCCTGAATGGGGTCTGTGAGTCTGATGAGCCCGGGGCAGGGGGTGGGGAACCTGGGGGTGTGGCACCCCAGGCCACAGGCTTTGTTTACTCCTGTGGCCTGCCACCTAACAGGACATTGTGCCTGTTCTAACCGGAGGGTCAGTTGAATCCTGCCACTTAAAGATTGTCACTTGTGTATTCAGCATACCTTTTAGCCAAAGTGCTTGTTGGTGTTGGTGTGCCTGCGGGCAGAGACCCAGCACTTCACTGAGCGACAAGAGCAGATTGCGTAACCGGTTTTTGCGCCTGCTTGCGATAAATGTCTTCATGTGTGATTTCTGATTCAGTGGGTGGCTGGCTATGATTTTTTTTTTTAATGATTCTTAACAG